ATGGGGAGAATGCCATGGGGAAAGGCTGGAATTCCACGGGGAAAGGCTGGAATTCCATGAGGAAAAGCTGGAATTCCACGGGGAAAGGCTGGAATTCCACGGGGAAAGGCTGGAATTCCATGGGGAAAGGCTGGAATTCCATGAGGAAAAGCTGGAATTCCATGGGGAAAGGCTGGAATTCCACATGAAAAGCTGGAATTCCACGGGGAAAGGCTGGAATTCCACATGAAAAGCTGGAATTCCATGGAAAGTGTCTGACAGCTGCTTCTCGTGCCTTTTCAGACTCCCATCCTGCTGACCCCCAGCCCTCTGCTCTCCAGCATCCACTTCTGGAGCACGCTGAGCCCCGTGGCTCCCCTCAGCCCTGCCCGCCTGCAAGGTGCTAACACCCTCTTCCAGGTGAGTCCCCATTCTCCAGGGATTCCCAGTCCCTTCCCCAGCACACCTGCAGGATTCACTTATTCCCAATATTTGCAGCAGAAATAAAACAGGAGCTCTTGGTTCCTACCCGCTGTTGTAGCTTCTGAGGGCATTAGTTTTGTTTTTTTTACCTGGTTTTATTTCAGGATGTTGTAAATGTTGGTGTTTTAGGAATGGTTGGAATTAACTGCAGCACAGGCTGCTTTAGAGATAGATGACTGTTCATTTTTAGGTCTCTTCTTCCTGTAAAAAATTTCCTCCCTGTAACTTTTTTTGGTTGGGATTTTCCTGAATTTTAGAAATTTTCCACTCTATTGATTGCTCCAATCATTTCTGATGAAAAATAGTAATTAATCTCAAAACTAATGAGGAGATATAGTGTGTGTTTGATCGCTGTGGTGATGTGTGGGAAAGTTTTTGATGATTTTTATGGAAGAAATCCATAAAATTCTGCCCTGTGAGGGTGGAGAGGCCCTGGAACAGTTGCCCAGAGAAGCTGTGGCTGCTCCTGGATCCCTGGAAGTGTCCAAGGCCAGGGTAGTTTTTACTATATATGAAAAAATCCACTATATTTGAGAAAAAACCTCTCCTTTAGTTGTAATTCTCATGTTTTTTCCTCACACTTCCACTCTGGCACTGGAATTACCACGTTTGCTGCCTGAATTTGCTGAGGCAAAGGGTGGAATTTAATCAATTTAATTATTTTTTATTTAATTTCTTTGAAATTAAAGAATTTAATGAAATCTTCTGGGTTGGGATCTGTCATCTCCATGGAGATGAAGGAAGTTCCTCATCTGTACCATGAGCACAGGGAATAAACAAGGAGGGCTGAAATGACACTGGATATTTCAGCCTGGAAACAGCTGATAATTAACTGAGGGGCAATTTAGACCCAGCTTTCCTCAGAACCTGGATTAAAGTCACATTTTAATGAGGATATGGGGCAGTGCTCAGCTCAGGGGTCACCGTGACACTGCTTGGCATTAAAAAATAAATTAAAAGTGAGAAGCCAAGAGCATCCTTGAAATCTGGGGTGGTTTTGCTTTTTTGTGTTGTTGCATTTCAGTTTTTTTCCCCTTCTTTGTGCACAGATGTGGGAAGAACATTGAATTAAAGTGGGTTTTTTTGCTGATTCTTGTTTTATCTCTTAGTTTCCATCCGTGCTGAACAGTCATGGCCCATTTACACTCTCTGGACTGGATGGACCCTCCACCCCTGGGCCCTTTTCCCCGGATCTGCAGAAGACATAGCACATGGAATTCCTGCAGAAGGACACAGTGGGCAAGGCACAGATGGGACACTTCCCTTCAACCACCTTTTTTTAAAACAAGCAGTTTGTAATTCCACAGAGATTCTCAACAGTTGGAGTTGTTGCCATTCCCGAATCAAAAAAAAAAAAAAAAAAAGCCCTTTTTTTGTGCAAAAATTCCCCCTTTTTTTGGAAGAACCCAGGTTGGGAATGTATATGCAAACGCCTTAATAGGAGCTGCAGCTCCAGTCTCTTCTCCTCCTCTGTTTGGAAGGTTTTTTCCCCGTGTCCAAAAGGAATTTTGGGTGATGTTGCAGCAACTGAGTCTGCACTGTCTGCAGCAAACAGCACCAGAGGAGGCTTTTCTCTGTGACTCTTGGAAAAAACAGACAAACAAAACTCTGTTCTTCTGCTTCCTGTGCTCAGCAAGGAGAACCCTGAATCCTGATGGAAGCTGGCATTCCAGGAAAAGCTTGGGAATGGGGTGTGTGCTGCCAGCTGTGCCCTGGGGCACCACAACTTGTGCAGCAACAAAAGCACCGGGGCTTTTCTGCTGCCCTTGTCTCTATTTTTTTTTTTTTCTTTTTGTTTTGTTTTTTGCAGGGAGAAATTTTTTTTTCAAGGATTTATTCCAAGTTTATGTCCAGGACACTTCTGTGGAGCCCCTGGGAGAAGAGGTGGGGCTGGATTTGGGATGCTTCCCTTCCCAGGAATGGTTGGGATGAGCTCCTTTCACTTCTCACAGAGTTTGAATGCTGGAGTCCAAACATTTCTTGTGCCACAGCCTGGGAGCTCCCTGCTGGATCAGCAGGATGGGAGGATTTTCCCTGCATTTTTGGGGGATTTCCCCTGGATGTTTTGGGGGATTTCCCCTGGGTTTTTGGGGGATTTTCCCTGGGTTTTTATCAGGGAAGTTGCTGCCTGACCTGCAATTCCAGAGCCCAGCAGTGTGAGGGAGAACAGCAACATCCCAGCAGTAGTGTTGCTCTTCTTTCCCCACAGTTCTGGAAAAGCTTCCTGCTTTTCCCCACGTGGAAAAGCTCCTCTTTTGCCAGCTCTTATCCTGAGTTCTGCAGTGGAGCTGTTGATTTTGGGTTTTTTTTTGGAGGGAGCACTGACCCCAAACCAGGTTGAGGGATTCCATGGGGTTTAAGCTCGTGGTAAATCTGCTTTCACCTCCTTGGTGTCCTGGATTAATGATGCAGGATTGTTTCCCAGAGCCATTGGAGGTGAGGTGGAATTTCTAGGTGGATTTTTACACCTCAGGAGGCCTTTTAAGAAAACTGAGGGGTGAAAAAATGAGAGCTGCTCCTCTCTCAGCCCCTCAGCCTGGGAGTGTTGGGCTGTGGGTCTGTGTCCTTCCAATTTGGGGCATCTGATGTCAGGCAGCAACTTCTGGCTTTGAGTTGAGCGTGTCAGAGGATCTTCCCCATCAAATATTCCCAGAAAACAGATGGAGACATCTCTTTCCTTCACCATCCTCCGAGCTGCCACGAGCAGAGGAAGATTTTCTCCTCTCCAGCACGAGGTGGGGTTTAAGCTTTCACCTCCTTGGTGTCCTGGATTAATGATGCAGGATTGTTTCCCAGAGCCATTGGAGGTGAGGTGGAATTTCTAGGTGGATTTTTACACCTCAGGAGGCCTTTTAAGAAAACTGAGGGGTGAAAAAATGAGAGCTGCTCCTCTCTCAGCCCCTCAGCCTGGGAGTGTTGGGCTGTGGGTCTGTGTCCTTCCAATTTGGGGCATCTGATGTCAGGCAGCAACTTCTGGCTTTGAGTTGAGCGTGTCAGAGGATCTTCCCCATCAAATATTCCCAGAAAACAGATGGAGACATCTCTTTCCTTCACCATCCTCCGAGCTGCCACGAGCAGAGGAAGATTTTCTCCTCTCCAGCACGAGGAGCTGACAGAGTTTGCTGTAAATACTGCACCTATTCCATGGATAAGTGGTGAACTCAAACTTTTCCAGAGGTTTTTTTTTTTTCCTTTCCTTCTGCCACTTTTGCAGGCTTGGAATTCCCTTTAAAGCCACAACACCCAGGACTTTTCTTTTCCTGCAGTGATGTTCCCTTTCTGTCTCCTGACACTGAGATACAGAAAAACCACTTTGGTGTGTTCCTGACGTGACACCTGGGACAGGTGGGTGGAACAGAGTCGCTTTTTTTGGGCATTGTTCACCTGCCCAGGGGAAAAGTGGGAGAAAAAAATACTCCTTTTTCAGGTGGAGAAGCAGGGAGTGAGCTCATGGAGTGACCTGTCTTCCTGTTGGCTCCTGTCAGAGGCAAAAAATGCTTCACATTTAGACATCAGCAGATGCAGGAGGAAATTCCTGCGCCAGCAGCTCTTAAAATGTGCAATATTGACCTTTTTTTTAATTTTGTTTTTATTTTTGGAACGCAGAAGCGAAGCTGCAGGTGATCATGAAGAGCAGGCATCTGGAATTTTTTTTTTTTTTGTTTGCATGTTTGGAGCCTGCTCTGGGAAATTTCTAGAGTTTGTATAAATAGCAGCACTTTGGTTGGTTCAGGTTGGCCAATTTTATGCCTACCAAATACTTGGACTTTTGACATTTGCAGGCTGGGATTCGAATTGAAAATTCATGAATGAGCACTAAAAACTTGCAATTTAATTGCTTCCTTTCCCCCTTGTTCCCCTGTGGAGAAAAGCCAAGTTTAGCTGTTGAAAATTTGTGCACTTAATTCTTTGTGAGCTTTTATGGCTTTGGGCAGAGGGTCAAGCCCAAAAAATGTTATTTGTGGGCTCCTGCTCCTCTCCAAGAAGCTTCCCAAAATTGCTGTGCCACAGAGATCCAGCTTTTCCTGTGGAAATGCAGCCTGGATGGGAAGGTTTCCACCAGGTAAAACACGAAAAAATAAAAATGAGGCAGGAAAAAAAATCAATGTGGACAGGATGAGAAGCTCAGGAAGCAGCTGGGAAAGCTGATGGGAAAGGGAGAGGAGGTGGGAGAGGAGCAGCTTTTGCTGCCTTTTCTCCACTGCAATTTTCAGGTCACTGAAGGGAATATTTCCTTGTTCATGTGCTGCCTCTTCAGGCCCATGCACTGACAGGGAGCTGCCAGCTTTTCCTGGGTCACATTCCTGACAGAGCCTCCCTGGGGGCTCAGCTCTGTCAGCTGCTGGTTCTTTAGGTCACTTCAGGAGCAGTTTGTGCAGCTCCTCACAACTTGTTTTTAATTTAGCCTAAGGCAGGTGGGGTTAGAGTAGATTCTGGTTTAGTTCTGTACCGTGGTGATTTAAAAAAAAAAAAAAAAAAAACGAAAAAAAAATCTAAAATGCAGCATTGCAGAAGCTTTTTTTTTTTTTTTTAAAAAAAAAAACGAAAAAAAAAATTTAAAATGCAGCATTACAGAAGCTTTTTTTTTTTCTTAGGTTCCTGTTGCTGGAGTAGCTTTGGTTTTGTGGAATGCTTGGTAATTTTTGCATCAGTTTGTTCCTGGCTGGTTTGGGTTTTGTGGAAGGTCAAAGCATTTTGGTAGAACAAAAGAGTTTGGTAAAAGACAGACAAGAACCCAGCATCCTCCCCAGCTTCTGGAGGTGGGAATAAACCCCTACTGTTGGTCACACCCTCCATGAAACCCAAAAATTCTAATTCCCTAGGATTTAGGGAATCCTGGAAGCTGAACTCGTGTCTTGCTTCTGGAAATCTTTTTATTTTTTTGGTTTATTTTTCCATGGGGAGCTGCTGCTGCTGCCTGGCTCTCTTTGGGATCCTGGATTTTCAGAGTTCCTGGCAGGAGCAGCTCGTGGAAGCAGAAAAATGGCCCATGGTTCTAGAGACCTTGGTGTTCTGTCTTTCCTAGTAAAAAGAGGGTGATGAGGAATTTTGGGGTTTTTTTAGCAGCAGCTTTAGGTTTAGAGCTTTGTTTCAGACCTGTCCTCAGCAGGGGATGCAATTCCTGTGCCCAGATTTTGGCACATTCAAGCTCTGTTTTGCAGTAGGAAGGGATAGAATCCCTGGAGTTGGACAATTCCTTGTTTTCACTTGGAGCATCCCCAGGCTTCACACCCACGGAATCTTTGGGGTGATGGAGTGCTGTGTGAGAGCAGAAGGGCTTTGGTTGGGATATTTTCCCCTCTGATGCATTTTCAGACCTCAGCTATCTCACAAATGGAACATTTTGGGTTTTTGATGCTGATTCTGAGGGCAGTGAAGCTGCTGAGGTGCAGATCTCCCTTCTCCAGCTTCCCCCAGCCCAGGGAGTCCTGGGGGTCCCAGCTGGGCTGGGTGGGAGTGAAAGGCTCTGCTCCCCTCCTGGAGCTTTTCCTCCCGCTGAGATCAGCTCTGCCCCTCTCTTGTGGGTTCATTCCTTTATTTACCTTGTTTTGCTCCTGTTTTCTGGCAGTTTTTGATGTGCTCTGCAGTTGAACCTCTCCCATTTTTAAGGCAGATTTGTTTCCAGTCCATCTCAGTGTCAGCTCTGGAAATCAACCTCAGCAGTGGGTCAGGGAATGTTGTTAAAATCCACAGGAACTTAGAAACTTTTGAGTTGTGGGTGAGTGTTTTGGTTTGTTTTCTTCCTCAGGTCTGTGAGGAATAGAATCTGGATCTGGAAGAGTAGAAATGGGAAAAAAGAAAATAAGAGACCTTTTGTCTCTGAGCTGGTGGGATGGGGTGGTTTTGTCTTCAAAATCAGAGAGTGGGGTGTTGCAAGCAGCCCCTGAGAGGAGCCCAAAATTCTTGAATATTCACTCAGGAGCTCTCCAGGGTGTTTGATGAGGGTGGTGCTGCCTAAACAGAGGTTTATGGGTTGATTTGGAGTTAATTAAGCAGCAATTAGCAGTGGCTGTTGAGTGTGAGCAGATCCAGGGGAGTGGGACAGGTTGGAGCTGCTGGAATCACAGCTGGCAGAGGAAGATTTTGGGATCAAATGCAGTTGATCCCAAAAGTTTTACGTCCCTTTGCCTTGGGGAATGCTTATTCCCCTCTGCTTTTAGAGCTGAGAAGTTGATTTGGAATAATAAAGCTGGAAAAAAATAAAAAAGGGAGAAAAATCTAGGGAGACACAGCAGTTGTGTGCGAGATCTGGAATTCATCTGGGGGTGAATCCTTCTCCAGCAGGAATTCTGGGAGGTCAGAATCCTGGGAATCAGCACACATCCAGCAGCAGCTGCTCCAGCTTCCCTGGCCTGGGCAGGTTTTTTGTGTCTTGGGGGGATTTAAATAAATTTCAATCAATTTTTAGTTCCCCCATCCAGCTGTGTGCGTTGTCCTGTGCATTCCTGGAGTGCACATCTGGTTTGGGAAGGTGATTTTGGCAGCTGCTCCAACTTCGCTGGACTGGGCAGGGTTTTTTGTGTCTTGGAGGGATTTAAATCAATTTAATTCAATTTTTAAACACTCCAGCACCCCCATTCCCATCCAGCTGTGTGCCACTGTTGTCCTGTTCATTCCTGAGGCATTTTTGGGGCACAGAATTCACTGGGAGTGACTGAGGAATGGAGAGGTGGCTCTGGACAGAGAGAAATCCTTGGGAATGGAACCAAATCTTCCTGCAGAGCCTGATTTTAGTCAGGAGGGCAAAACAGAGGAGCCACAAGGGCAGTGCTGCCCATTCCTGTCGGGATTCCCTGAAGGGCTTGGGGCAGAAAGGTGAAATTTTGGGTTTGGTGTCAGTAAATCCCGGACTGAGGGATTTTATTCCTGCCTTTGTGCCAGGAACAAGCAGGAATCAGGAGAATGTGTTCCCTGCAGGTTGTTTTTCTGTCTGACCACAGGTGGGCAAGGCCCTGTTTCTCCCTGGATATTCCAACATTTCCCTGTTGGAACAACAAAGTATCTGCTTCCTATAAATTATTTTGGAACAAAACCACTCTAAAAACTGGCAAAAAATAAATTTTGTTTCCACCTCCCAAAGAAAGCAGCAGATTTTGCTTGTGGAGCTCTTCCAGGCCCTGATGAGAAGCACACTCAGAGCTGAAAATTTGTATTTTTTTTTTTAGATTCCTCAGTGTTTAAGTCTGCCTGGAGCACACGTGGGTCATGCCTGGCAGGATGTGTTCCCAAAAATCCATATAAATATCCCCATCCTCCCTCTGAGCAGATTCTGCACTCTGCAGTGGCCACTTTGAAATACTTTGCACTCCCTTGGGAGGTTTTTTTGGGTTTTTTTCTTCTCTTTTAGCACTCAAATCAATCCTGCCCCAGCGTGCACTCGTGAGTTGCCAAAGGTTTATTTTTGACATTGTTGGTTGCCACATCTCCTGTAAAAAAAAAAGTCTTAAATGTGTTTTTGAGTAGTTTTGTGTGCATGGAACAAAAGTTTGGGCTTGATTTCAAAGATTTTTCTGCTGAGCTTGTGTTGGAGGAGGTTTTCATCTCAAAGCAGGGGTGGAACAGGAGAATCCTGAGCCTTTGGAAATCAGGGATCTGAGTGAGGAGAGGCTGCAGCTGATCCCAGCCCCGTTTCAGCAGTGCTGTACCAATAACTGGAAGCTGTTGTTGTTTATTTTGATTTTTTCCCTTTCCTTTAGGGTGATTTTTCTGTGTTTTTTGGAACACAGGAAGGGTGGCCTGTGCATGGATCCTGGAGTGTGCTGTGTGCTGGGGTGGGGGGCTCCAATTTTCCAATCCCTGGCTTTGCTCTCAGCTCCCTGGGATGAGTTTTGGGGCTGTATTTTTATTTTTCCCTAGCATGTCCTAACCCCTCCAAGCTTTGAAACCGCTTCCTAGAATTGTGTTGACTTTTTATTTTTTTGTTGTTATTGTGCTGTTGTTCAGTTGCACAGAGTTGTTTTTTTTTTCTGTATAAAATATACTTTTGAAACGTTTCATTCTCTGTGAACAGGGTTGAGATTTCTTCTTTGTAGCTTTGAAAAAGATCCTGAAATTCCCTTTTCCAACCTGTTTTGTAGCCTGTTGCAGTGTTACCAGATGGCCTTATGTACGTCACAGTGCTTTGTGATGGGTACAGTAGCACATTTAATGCTTCTTCCCCTCTGTTTTTAGAGCTGAGAAGTTGATTTGGAATAATTAAAGCTGGGAAAAAGAAAAAAAAAAAAAAAAAAGGGAAAAATTCCAGGGAAACACAGTGGTCATGTCCCCTACAGGAGATCAGGGCAGCTGGAATTCATCATCCTTCTCCAGCAGGAATTCTGGGAGGTCAGAATCCTGGGAATCAGCACACATCCAGCAGCAGCTGCTCCAGCTTCCCTGGGCTGGGCAGGTTTTTTTTTTGTGTCTTGGAGGCATTTAAATCAATTTCAATCCATTTTTAGCCACTCCAGCACCCCCACCCAGCTGTGTGTGTTGTCCTGTTCATTCCTGGAGTGCACATCTGGTTTGGGAAGGTGATTTTGGGGTGGTTCCTTGCTGGAATTTTCATGCTGAGCTGGATTCTTGGCAGTTTTTTGGGAGCTGGGAGCAGATCCCTCCCTCTGGAATTCTGGGCTGGAGTTTTGCCTTTCCCAGTTTTACCTGGCTGGGATTTTCAGAACAATCAGTGGGGGAAACTCCCCTGAAAGCAGCAGAAAGGGGGAACATTTCCAGTGGCTCTTTCCAGAACAGAGTTGCATTTTTCTTTTCTCTATAAATATATATAAATATATATATATATATTACAAATTCAAGAGGCAAAGTTATGTTGTAGTGAGTGTCTGAAACTTCCTACACTGGAGACTTTTCTGGACAAGACAACTGTAAAAGTCACCCCTTGTTCCAGCCAGGTGACCCTGCCTGGGACAGAATTGCTTCTCAGTCTAACTTTTTATTTTTAAATACCTTATTAGAGTATCTTAATGCCATTGTGTTTAAAAAAAAAAAATGCTGGTATGTAATGCAAGTACATAAATAGCCAAAGTTTTCAGTAATTGTTCAGTGTTACTAAATTTTGCTTTTATTTAACCTTCTGAGATAACATTTAGGAAGACCTTCAGCGTGGAAATCATCCTGAAAATTCAGAGTATGAGCAACTGGATTAGGGCAGGGATGGAGTTGTTTGAGCACATTTCAGGTTTGAATACAATCAGGAGGCAAAGCTTTTTAAGATGCAAAACTTTCTTTGCACTGTCCTGACACTTCAAAGTGACAAATGCTGCTTTGGCAGTGGCTCTTTGGGAATTGTTATTCAAACATCATGAAGGTCTTTCCTGAGAAATCAGGTGACTTTTTTATTGCTTCGATTTTTGTGCAAAAAAAAAAAAAAAAATACAAAAAAATAAAAATAAAAATCAATGTATTGCAATCTTTTTTTTTTTAAAAATGGGGTGGGAATAGTTAAAGAAAACTATTTTATGTAAGAACTGACAGAGGGATTTTGCTTTGTATAATGCAAGCTGGCTTTAAAAAAAGCATTGTAGCAAATTATTCAAGTCAATCATATGTTAATAGTTATGTGCAACCAGACATGCAAAACAATTGTATTTTTTTAAATAAATATTTTTAACAAAGTTTCTGCTCATTTGACTTTTTTTTTTTTTACTTTCAGTAGAGAAAATAGACAGTTACAGCTGCAGGGGATGGGATAAGGAGGGAATTCATCAGACCTCGAGGTAAATTGTATTTTAAAGTGTTGCTAAATCAGGTGCTATTCTGGTGAAAATTTCCTAAAAAAGGATTTTTTCCCCCTCTTAAGTAGCCAAAATGGAGATTGGAATTACCAAGCCCAAGAACTGTGATGGTGGATTTTAACTGAGAAAAGATTGAGCTCTGTTTTACCAAACCTGCCAGGCCAGAATGAGAGATGATTTCAGAGCTGCCAGCCCTGCTGTGACACAAACTGAGGAGATTTCTTCCCAAATTTTGGTGCTCATTTCCTCCCAGCAGGGCCCAGAGATGCTCTCATGCTGGGAGGGGCTCCAGGAAGGACAGATTGAGGGTTTTCATTTTGCTGTAAATGGCTTTTGCAGTCTGTGGTTGTTTCATTCCGGGTGATTTATTCTGGGCAGCTCCAGGAGAGGAACAGTGGCATCCTGTGGAGCTGCAGAAGAATTACAGCCTGGATGGGTTGGAATCAAATCCCAGAAGGGTTTGGGATGGCAGGAGTTTAAAAACCTCCTCATTCCATCCCAGGGTGCTCCAGCCTGGCCTGGAATTGGGTTTGGTTTCATTACAGGATCACAGAATCGATGGGATTTGAGGCAGGATGGTGTCCCTGAAGTCCAGGGATGAGCTAAACCCAGAATTCAGCTCCATTGACCCGATCCAAACTCACCCTGAGCGAGGAAAATGGCAATTCAACAGCCCCAGGTTCTGTTCTGCAGGAGTCTGTGGAGATATTTAATGGCAGGGAAGAGCTGCTGCTTGGAAAAATGGAAATTTCCCAGAAAATTCGTGGCTGCCCCAACCCTGGAAGTGTCCTAGGCCAGGCTGGAGAAACCTGGGACAGTGGAAGTGTCCCTGGCCTTGGAATGAGAAGGTTTTTAAGATCCTGCCATCCCAAACCCTTCTGGGATTTGATTCCAACCCTAGCAGAGATTCCAGTTCTATTCCAACCCCACAGCAAATCCCATTCAGGCTCTTTGGGATTTAGGGGATTATGGGATTTAAGGTCCCTCCCAACCCAAACCATTCCACAGCTCTTCAAATTCCAAAAGCAGTTTAATTAAAAAAAAAAAAAAACAAACCCAAACGTGTTAGATTTCAAGTTAATGAGTTTAAGAACTGAGAACTGGAGGTGTTGGAGTGAATCCAGTCAGCGAGCAATTAGCAATCAATCACCTTTAATTAAACACTGCTTTATATACACACGTACATATGTACATCACATACAGCAGTTCAAGCAAGGAGTTGCATCCACAGCCACTCCTGACAGGAGGAGTTTGACATTCCCCAAAATTCCAGTCCTCTCCTGGTGGCTGGGACAGGCCATGCGTGGGCTGTGGGAGTACCTTACACAAGGCACCTGGATGAGGAGATTGCACAGGTGAAGCAGCTGGAGCCTGGCTCCCAAAAATAAAATTTAAAAAAAAAGGATCTCTTCTCTCTTGGAGCTTGGCTTGGAAGTTGGAAATAAAACCAACAATAAAATAAGACACTGCAGCTGGAGCAGCTCGAGGAGTGACTTAAAGCAAAAGGAACCAGCACATTACTTAAAATCATTTAAGAGGCCTGAGCATGCTGAGTAAGACACTGTTTAGAGTGTGGAATATACAGGAATTAAGTGTGCAAATAGAGACAGGCCCTGCTGCCTGTGTGCACCTGGGGGGCTCTGCCACTGTGGGACTTCCCCCCTTGGGAAGGATCAAGGGAGGTGGCACAGAACTAGTCACAAAAACGAATGAAAACCCAGGATTGTGCTGCAAATTCCAGTGGGTTCCTGTGCACCACAGGCCAGAAATAAAATCTATTCAAGCCAGGAGACATTCAGTCTTGGATGAGGAGCAGAGAGCAGCTTTTCCTTTTCACTCTCTGTCCTGAGCAGGTAAAAAAAAGTTCATTTGCAGGAGAAAAAAACTTCATTTGCAGGAGAAAAAAACTTCATTTGCAGGAGAAAAAACTTCATTTGCAGGAGGAACTGCTGTGCAAATGTCCCTGCTTTTAGTCCCAGGGATCAGGCTGGCAGGATTTTTGGCACAACCCCAGTGCTCAGCTCGACATTTTGGGCTGGATTTCCTCGATTCTGCCTTACCCCACCTACTGTGCTTTTGATTGCAGAGAACTTGCATGATTCAGTTCATTAAATGTGAAATCACCCTTGGGAGAAATGCTTAATTGGGGCTGGTTTATTGCTTGTGCAGAGCCGGGCCCTCCCTCAGCGCTGGTACTGCCCCGTGTCCTCGGGCACTGCTGCTTTCTCCGGGGAGGCCTCGTCCAGCTCTGCAAAGATTAAATCGGTATTTCACCTCAATGGATACTTTTACTGAGATTAAAGGGGATGGGTGTGAGGTTTTCCCCTCAGGAATGTTGTTATTCTGTCACCCCCCTCATCCCCACCATGTTCAGTGTGGGCACCTGCAGGGATGGGCACTCCAAACCCCCCTGGGCAGCCCCGTCCAGCCTTTTCCAGGAGGAATTCATGCTGATGTCCAACCTGAGCCTCCCCAGCCCAGCCTGAGGCCGTTGCCTCTCCTCCTGTCCCTTTTCCCTGGAATGAGATCCCAAATCCCCCCCGGCTGTGCCCTCCTGGCAGGGAGTTGTGCAGAGCCACAAATTCCCCCTGAGCCTCCTTTGCTCCAGGCTGAGCCCCTTCCCAGCTCCCTCAGGACTCTCCAAACCCTTCCCAGCTCCCTCAGGGGTCTCCAAACCCTTCCCAGCTCCCTCAGGACTCTCCAAACCCTTCCCAGCTCCCTCAGGATTCTCCAGTCCCTTCCCCATCTCCATTCCTTTCCCAGCCCCTCACACTGAGGGCCCAGCCCTCGAGATGTGACCCCAGCAGTGCCCAGCGCAGCCCAAGCCACACCTGGAAGTTCTTTGCCTGTCCCACTTTGCTCCTTTCGTATAAAAACAACCAGCAGCTCCAGACTGAGGTGATAACTCAAAAATCCTTTATCTGTGAGGCTTTTTCCAGAGCCTGACAGCTGCCCTTGGATGGCAGCCCTGCTTATTCCCTGGATTTCAGCCAGGGAACAGCCCAGGGGAGCTGGTGCTGTCTGTGATTCCTGCTTTTTTCCCTTGCTTCTCCAGCAGAAAAGAAAGCAAACCCTGAGCTGTGGCTGCCAAGGCTTTGTGGGCAAGACAAAGCAGGAAAAGGAGAGAGGAAGCAGCAGGAAAATAAACATTTCCTTGCATTTTGCTGGAATCTCTGGAGTGAGGCTTGTGCTGCTCTCGCTCCCATCCCAAAGCAGGGCTCAGGGCTGGGGTTCCCTTACCTGCGGAGGGCTTGGGGTACATCCTGTGGAAAAACACCAGCAGGGCGTAGAAGGTGAAGGCCAAGCATCCAAAGATCATCCCACAGACCAGGAAACTGTAGCTGCCTCGATCATGGATAATCTGCAGTGGGATGGGAAATAAAAAAAGGGATCAGACATCACTCAAGATTCCTCGTGGATCATCAGGGAGGGCTTTGCTGGCTGATAACTCAAGGCTCAGGGAGTGCCCAGGAGCAGAACTGAGGGTTTGACTCGTAAATTCCAAATTTATTTCGGGTTTTGCCAGCTCCTGGCTACTCACCGAGCCCACCAGCAGCTGCAGCACCATCTCTCCAATGCCAGCTCCAGTCACCAGCACGGTGGTGGCACAACCTGTGAGGAAACAGGGCAAGGGGTGGTGGCAGCAGAGTGACACAGCCAGCAGGGCCACCCTGTGCTCCTTTAAAGCTTTCTTGTGGATCTTGCTACACAAAAATCAAAAATACTCAGTGTGTATTCCCACTTAATGCTGAAAACGCCTCAGCAGACCTGCAGTAGTGCAGAAAAGTGAAAGTTGAAGTAAAAAAATTCAATCTCCTGTCACCTGTCTGTGCTGGCAGAGCTGATGGTGCCTGTTGCTGGGAAGGTTTTTGTGTTTCTGTCTGACTGCCCTCGAGACAGGGACTGGCAGGGAGCTCCTGGGGGAGCTGGCCAGGCTCTGGGTTTCCAGCTCAGGTAACCTGGTGATGTTTTCAGAACCAGGTCCCTCCAAAGCAGCGTTCCTGCCCCTCCCCGAGCTCCCCAAACTATGAACCAAGGCTGGATCCCTACATGGGGTCTTTATTCATCAGCAAAACAGAGAACTGGCCACTTCCCTGCGACAAATCTGCCTTCAAAAGCAAACCTGAACTTCCAGGCCTCTTGAGAGAGGAGGAAAGGAGCTGAAAAAGGGGGATGGAATCTAAAAATGCACCTGGTTAAATGGCAGCTCACCTCTGTACTGCAGGATGTCCTCGGTGTAGGCCAGCATGCTGGGGAAGGTGCTGCTGAGGAACAGCCCCAGGGATGCTGTGCCCACAAACAGGAAAACCACGCTGGAGGAGAAAATCAGGAGCAGCAGGAAGGTGATGAGGACCCCAACCTGTGAGCAGCACCCGTAAAAATCAGTCAGAAAAATGCTGAGTGCAACAGGGTCTAGAGTTTGGTTTTAATAGGAAATGTTCTGGAAGAGAAAATATGTTTATTTTTAATGGGAGATAGTCTGGAAGAGGAAATATGCTGGGAGAAAAAAAAAAATCAGTGTTTGAGAAACTGAATGGCCAAAGAAAATCCATCCGACTTTAAAGAATTTTCTAATTTTCATCATATAATTTGGTAATTAAGTCTTAATTTCATTATGTAGAAACTTAAGGTTTTATCTGAAAAATATACTTTTAAATGCAATAGTACCTTCCACAATATTTACATGTCTTAATCACTAATAATTCTTTATTCTGCTGAGTAAGACTGAAGTCACTCTCAATAATTACAGAATTAACTCTCAATAACTGCTCAGAAAGCAGCCACAGCATTAAAGCCAAAGAGGCAACTGCACTTAAATTAATTTTCCCTCACCTCTGGCTTGTAGGGGAAATAACCAAAAGCTCTGGGAAATGCCCGAGTGATCCAGGGCAGAGTCAGCAGAGGGAGCTCTGATATTCCAGCTCAGCAGAAATTTGGATCCTGAAGCAGCCAAATTCCAGCTGGAATTTGTTATGATGATGCTGCAGTGACTCCAGGAGCTGCTGGATCCTACAACAGCTCCCAGCACTGCACGGGGTCAGTGTCAGCCAGGTGGTTTTTTACTCAGAACACCCCAAAATCTTCTCCCCACCCTGTTAGATGGATATTGTAACACACTGTAATGTGTTTTATTACCAAAATATAGCCACCAAAATCACTTCTGGTTCAAATAAATTGGCAGTTAACTGCCTGCTTTGCTTTTTGTCTCCGTAAGAAGCGGGATTGGGATCATCCCCTCCCTGTTTTCTGCCATGTCCTCACACAGATCCTCCTTACACCTCCCACAAGGATTCCTGCCCCTTTCCCAAGGTGTTTTATTGACTTCAGCAAGCCCTGCCAGCTGCTGCAGCCTAAGCAGAGAATTTACAGCGTGACCTGTCTTCCCTTTGCCATGGCAATCCCAGGATGTTCCCTGTGGATGAAGGAGTCACTGTGTAAGGTCAATAAAATGGGCAATTTTTCAGTGCCAACTCTCCTGGTGCTTTCCCAGCTGAGGAGCAGGCTCAGGAAAGCTGGGCCATCAAATTTCAAATCGTGGCTACCCGGAGGGCACCTTGCCCACCCTACCTGTGCAAAGCCCCCAGGTGTTAAATCCAAGGAATTAACCCCATCCTTACCACGTTGATGAAGACCATGGTGGCTGGCTTCATCCTGTAGGACACAGGGATGGAGATGAGCCTGCCCAGGGTGATGAAGCCCCAGAAGAGGCTGGGCAGGTACCCGGCCACCTTGTGCACCACGGCCAGCGGCTCCTCCACGGCGTAGCTGTACACGAAGCCTGAGTACTCTCCCTGCAGGAAAATCCTCTCTGTCACATCCCCGTGGGGACTTCAGGCTCCTCTGTCCCTCAGCTGTTCGTGGTGGAGAGCCTGTGCATGGTGGAAGGGTTTGCAGATCCACCAGCAGCAGGATGTGGGGTTTAGTCTGTCCTAAAAGGGCAAAGCTCCACAGCTGTCCCAGGGAAAAGCCCAGCCTGCAGAGATACTCCTTGCCCTCTTGGAGTTCCTCACTCTCCAAACATCACATTTAGAGCTCAGGGTTGCTTATCCTTGGAGATGGAGAGCTTGGGAAATTCCCAAACCTGTCAAACCCCTCTCACCATTAACCCCTGACGAGCCCCTGGGGGTTTCACAGGGGTTCAGAAGGGAAAAAATCCAGATCTTTGGGCACTGAACTCACCACGATCCCGTCAGTCATGAAGAGAACCAGAGCCCCGGTGATGTGCACGGCGAAATAGGTGAAGGAAACCCCTTGGAAGTTCTTGCTTTGGCAGCAGCTGAACAAATCCTCGTGACCTGGTGGAGAACAATGCAAAGCAAACCTGACCAGAACGTCCCCCCGGGGCTGGGTGGCTGCCAGCCCTCAGTGGGGTTTGCTTTGTGGGACAGCTGCAGGACAGAGCCAACCAGGACCCTGGACGTGGGGCACTGCTGAGCTTGGGGGGCTCCACCTCACCTTTACCTTCCTCTAAGCTTCCAGAAGGAAATGGGAATGGGTGTGGGGTCTGCCCACAGCCTGGGATGCTGGATCTCCACAGCGTGGGATCCTGGTTCTTTGGGGAACCTGCTGCCCACACCCTCAGGGATGCTGGGCTCTTCACACCCCAAAATCCTGGCTTTCCATACACCAAAATCCTGGGCTCTCCTCACCTCAAAATCCTGGGCTCTCCATACCTTGGCATCCCAGATCTCCATACTCCAAAATCCTGGCTCTTCTCACCCCAAAACCCTGGGTTCTCCATACCCCAAAACCCTGGCTCTCCACACTCCAAGATCCTCACTCTCCACACTCCAAGAACCTGGGCTCTCCTCATCCCAAAATCCTGGCTCTTCTCACCCCAAAACCCTGGGCTCTGCTGCCATTTCTCTTACTGCAGCTGCTCATGCTCCTTTTCCCATTTTGGGGCTCCCCAGTTCTGGCCCCACTCTCACAGGCAATGAAAACACAACCACGGCACTCATGGCCCAAATCCCCTCATCCCTGGAGCTGCCCCACAGGGGAGCCCTGCCCAGGAGAGCTCCCAATCCTTGGATAAGGGATATTGCACCCAACAAGGCACCTTTGGGAGAGGGGGACACACACACACGGAGCTTGGCATCACCCCTGAGCCCTCCCACATCTCAGCACCTCCTGACCTTGAAGAATTTCCTGAAATTCCCTTTTCTTGCCCAGGGGCAAAGCCATCTTTCCAGGAATAACACGGAACACTCCCCAGAGTCCTATGCCATATTTACTTCTGAGATTCACTATTTACCCAAGGAATTGACTCTGACACGTCTCTCCTGGCTAAGAAAGAACAATGTCACCATTGTCCCCAAGGCAGGGTGCAGCCATGAGGTCAAGAGCAAACTATTGCTGGATTTCACTTTTCCCCTCAAACAAGGGAGGGGAAATTTGTTATTTCTTATTCCTTTCCTACAAAAATCAGCATCTGCAGCACAATGACCACTTTTAAACTGAATAATCAGTAAGAAATGTGACCCAAAACCAGGAGAGAATGAAGGTGCACAACTGCCATGTGTTGGGGGGCCCAGGGTTGGCTTTAGGATGGCTTGGAGAAACATGGAATGGAGAAACACAGCCTGGAGGCCTCACTGGGATTGGGATACCAACCTCTGTTGAAGATTCCATCTAATTTCAGGGTAATTGGGCACCATATGGATTGTTTGGGTGCCCCTGGATGGGACCCCTGTGCACACTTTGCACACTTTGTTTCCTCCTCAGACAGCAGTGCTGGATCTCCCATTACACCCAGACACGCTCAAATATGGCTTTTTCTCCCCCAAATCCACAAGAGAGGCACCTCCAGCTCACCTGCGGCTGTGTGGGGTCTCTGGCCAGCGGCGGAGAGCTCGTCCTTGTCCCCAGGCCGTGTCTCCAGGGCCAGCTCGTCAGCTGACAGCAGCGGGTGGCTGCTGCCGTTGAAGCAGGGCACCATCCGCTCCTTGTAGAGCAGGAAGAACACAGCGATGGGTACCGGCAGCTGGGGAGGGGACACAGAGGGGGTGAGCACCTGAACGTCCCAAGAACACCCCAAAACCACCCCAAAACCACAGCCCAGCTCCCCCAGCAGCAGCGGTTTGAGGTGCTGGGCTCAGATTCCGCAGGGGAGGTGCCTGAAGGGAATTTCAGAGCAAGGAGAGACGGGGATGGGACAAGGAGATGCCGAGGCTGGGTGGGGATAGGAGAGAGGGGAAAAGAGGGAGAAAAACAGGAGAAAAGTCTCCTGATCTGCTGGGGCATCCCCAGCCAGTCCCAGGCCCCAGCATTGGGGTGTATCCATTGCCCCCAGTTTGGGATTCCCCAGTTCCCAGTCCCACTCTGGGGTTTTCCCTGCTCTCCACACCCTCAGCTTTAAATCCACCAGGTCCTTTTTGCTTTAACCAGGCTGGGACAGTTTTAGGAGGTCCCACCCATGGCTGTGGCCACCCAATCCCATCCCTGACCATCCGTCCTGGGCAGCCAGATTTTGGTGCCATTTTCTCCCAGACTATTCCTTCCCACGATATTTTTTGCTGCTTCTTTCACCTGGAAATGGGCACAGAAACCCCGAGACAAACCTCCCAAAGTGCCAGCCCTACAAACCCCAAACATTCTGGGATCCAACCCTGGCTGCTGCTACCCAAAGAGTGAAACCCCAGAGCAGCTGCTGCCTGTGGGAGCAGAGCAGTTGGAATTCTGCGGGAGGGAAGAGGGAGCTGCTCCCAGCCCCGTCCCCAGCCATTAGCAGGGGTTGCTCAGCACCTCCTGAGAGAGGAGCCCGTGGTTCCCAGGCTGTGCCCGTGGTTCCCAGGCCAACAGGGACAGCCCAGTGCCCTGCAGCATCCCCCTGGCACAGCCTGAGCGGAGCAGGGAGGGTCCAGCCACAGCTCTGGGGTCCTCTGTGCAGCCAGGGATGCTCCAGCACTCCACTGTCCCACCCCACATCCATGGGGCAGCAGGAGCCCCTGGCACGGTGATCCCAAGGGATGAGCCCGCTCCCAGCCCACACCCACGACGCCCCGGTGCCTCCAATTCCACGGGCAATGGCTCTTTTTTTTCTTTTCTTTTTTTTTTTTTTTTTTTGGGGGGAAAAGGGGGGTGCTCTCAGCCTACACCCACGACGCCCCGGTGCCTCCTGTTCCATGGGGAATGGCTCTTTTTTTCCTTTTCTTTTTTTTCCTTTTCTTTTCTTTTTTTTTTTTTTTTTGGTGAGGAAACAGAGGGGAGCGAGCGAAGCTCTCCCGTCTCCTCCCAGCACAGCCCAGCGGTGTTTACACTGCAACCAACTGGGGGAGAAAGCCAGGAAATCCTAAGTGACAGCTCATTCCCTTGTTTTCTACATGTCTGGGAGCAAGTGTGAGCTCCAGCTCCAAATTTCCTGCCTTTTGTTGGCTCGTGGCATGATTTAAATGTATGGAGAATTCCCCCCCATCCCTCCCACCCCGCCCCTCGCGCCTGAATTCATTTATGAGGCCTGCATTGTTCTGGGAACAATGGGAATAGGAACAGTGAGTTCGGTCCCATGGAAGAAAAACGCATTTGCTTGATAGTTCTGATCCTTCCGGAGGTCAGGACCAGATTTCATTCTTCTGAATTGCAGATTTAGCAGAAATATTCCCTCCCCTCAGACGGCCTGGCTGTGCAGATAACGGCCCTGGGCACTCCCAGCCTCGAGGACAAGGTCCCAGTTTGGGATTCCCCAATTCCCAGTTCCACTCTGGGGTTTTCCCTGCTCTCCACACCCTCAGCTTTAAATCCACCAGGTCCTTTTTGCTTTAACCAGGCTGGGACAGTTTTAGGAGGTCCCACCCATGGCTGTGGCCACCCAATCCCATCCCTGACCATCCGTCCTGGGCAGCCAGATTTTGGTGCCATTTTCTCTCAGAATTCCTTCCCAGGATATTTTTTGCTGCTTTTTTTAGGAGGGTTTTTTTTTTTGGCAGGAAGATTTTCTTTTCCCAAGGGAAAAAGGGACACCAGAGCATTCCCCACCAGGAGCCAAGGGCCAAACAGAACCCCCAGTTCCCTGCACTGAAAACTTCCCAAATTCCCAGAGCTGCTCCCTCCCTCACCTGTCCAAGCAGAATTCCTAATTCCCTGCATCCAACACTTCCCAAATTCCCAGAGCTGCTCCCTCCCTCACCTGGCAGCTTTTATCCATCCCCAAAACCTCCACAAGCTGCTGCATCCCCATCTCAGCGTGGGGATATTCCAGCTCCTTCCTTCCCTCCCGCTGCTATTTCTGTCTGTTCCCCCCAGGAATCCGGGATCCTTCCCTGCCATTGTATCCCAGGCTCCTGTGGAGCACAATGGAGTGTCCCACACTTCCCCTGGGAAAGCACCTTCCTGACAAACACCTCCCTCTCCACGGAACATTTCCCTGATTTCCAGCCCCTTGCAACGGGCTGGGTGATGAAATTTCCGTTCTGTGGGAGAACTGAACTCTAAAATATGGAGGTTTTGTTCCAAAATCGGGATGAAAAGGCAAAAATTTTTTCTTGTCAAGTGAAAGATTTTGGCTGGGAGTGATCCAAGTGCTTTGTTTTGATTATGCTGAGCTGCTTCATTTTCCCAAAGCAAACCCATTTTGCTTCAAAAACATCGGCACAGCTCCGCTGTCAGCTCTGCACTGAGCACTTGTGCCAGAGTCAGATTGAGACATTTCCACTCTAAACAAAAGCAAGAGCTCGAAATGAATCATTTCAGCTCGTGCCTTGTCAGAATCCACACAAAAACCGGGCTGGAAATGTGGGATTTGGCCATTTTATAACCAAGCTGCTGCTCCTGGTTTCCATTTCTGTTGTTAACTCTTTTCATCCATGTCCCTGGAGGTTTAAAAACCCCTTCCCATCATCTTCCTCTGCTGGAAAAGGGTCAGCACTTTGGAGCTGAGCTGCTCCCAGCATCTCCAGCAGGTTGGGATGGTTTAAATAAAACAAAATCAGTTTCCTCCGTGAGGATTTGGGAAGGGCAATCACAGCTTGGCTGGGGAGCTGAGCACATCCAACTCCCCACTGTGTGTTTGTTATTTAACCCTTATCCCAAAACCTCTCAGTCTCCCAGCCTCCCTTCCACGTTCCTGGTGTTCCTCCACAGCCTGTGGGAGTCCTGGGAATTCTGTATTCCACCCACCCACCCCTGCGTGCAGCACTTGAGCGTGTCCTGATGCACAAACCCACAGCCTGTGGTGCCATCCTACCCCAAAAACACCCTCAGGACACGGCTGGGGACAGAGAGGGCTCTGGAAATTCCCAAATCAGACACATCATCGGGTTCAAAGCAGGTGTGAAGCTCAATGGGTTTGCTCAGGATCCGCTGGCTCTGGAGTAATTAAAAGCACATTTCCCGTGGCACAGACAGAGCTGGAGGTAATTAAAGCTGTGTCTCCTCCCAGGCTGGGCCTTTTTTGGGTAATTCTACCCAGAAACTCATCCCAGCACCTGCCCAAGCTCCTCCCACAGGGAGCTGGGAGGGCCTGGAAACCCCTGGATGGGGAAAATGGGGGTGTTTCAATAATTTCATAAATGCCCAAGGAAAGGAAGTGCAGCTCCCCTTGCCCGGTGCTGGTGGAGGGGTGGCAAAGCAGGGACAGGAGAAGGGGAATGTGCACATCCTTGAGCTCTGAGAGCTGAATTCCAGAGGGAAGGAGCTGCCAGGCAGCATCACCCATTATTCCTGGGATGATCCCAGCTGGATACTGCCGGGACGATCCCGGCTGGATATCCAGCTGCAGCACTCACATTGATGAGGGCCATGATCCAGAAGGCGTAGGACACGCGTGTCACCACCATGCCCTTCATGGGCAGGTCGTAGTGGGACAGGTTGCCGGGGTGGTGTGGCACCAGGGACTTGCGGATGTGCGGGAGGTTGCTGGAGGCGTTGGCCGTGCCGTTGGCCAGGATGCAGTTGGTGTCCGACAGGAAGGGGTCGGCGATCAGGGGGCTCAGCAGCGCCCCGAAACCCACGAAGAAGTGCAGGGCCTGCAGGAGGGGACACGCTGGAGCAGGAGGGTGGCACAGCCCCCCCAGCTCCTCCTCAAATCACAGAATTAATTAGGTTGGAAAAGACTTTTTGTGATCGAGTCCAACCTGTAACCTGACACCACTGTGTCACCAGACCTGAGTGCCACTTTCCACCAACACCTCCAGGGATGGTGATGCCACCCTCCCAATTCCCAACCACCCTTTCTGGGGAGAAAATCCTCCTAAACTCCATCCTAAACCTGCTCAGGGCATCCTAAACCTGCCATAGTGCCACAGCCAGGCTTTGCAGGAATGGTGATGCCACCCTCCCAATGCCCAACCACCCTTTCTGGGGAGAAATTCTACCTAAACTCCATCCTAAACCTGCCCAGGGCAGTAAGGGCCCCACGGTGCCACAGCCAGGCTTTCCTCAGACACACCCAGGGATGGTGATGCCACCTTCCCAATGCCCAACCACCCTTTCTGGAAAGAAATTCCTCCTAAGCCCAGGGCAGTGAGGGCATCACAGTGCCACAGCCAGGCTTTCCTCAGACACACCCAGGAACGCTGATGCCACCTTCCCAATGCCCAACCACCCTTTCTGGAAAGAAATTCCTCCTAAGCCCAGGGCAGTGAGGGCATCACAGTGCCACAGCCAGGCTTTCCAGGAATGGTGATGCCACCTTCCCAATGTCCAACCAGCCTTTCTAGGGATAAATTCCTCCTAAACTCCATCCTAAACCTGCCCAGGGCATCCTAAACCTGCCATGGTGCCACAGCCAGGCTTTCCTCAGACACCCCAGGGATCGTGCCTCCACCCTCCCAATGCCCAATCACACTTTCTGGGAAAAAGTTCCTCATAAAGTCCATCCTAAACCGGCCCGGGGTGATGAAGGCCCCAAGATGCCACAGCCAGGCTTTCCAGGAATGGTGATGCCACCCTCCCAATGCCCAACCACCATTTCTGGGGAGAATTTCCTCCTCAACTCCATCCTAGAGCTGCCCAGGGGCGTTGAGGACCCCGCTCTCACCTGCAGGAAGATGGCAGAGTCCTTCTGGTAGATCTTGACCAGCTGCATGTTGGAGATGGTGTCGATGCAGCCCATGGCCAGCCCGGCCACGGCCATGACCACGGCCAGCACCACCACGTTGTGGCACAGGGGGATGATGGCAAACACCAGCGAGATGGCCAGGGACGAGGCAAACAGGGCCAGCAGGGACTGGGCCAGCCTGGGGAGGGGAGAGGCAGGACAGAATCAGGGCCACCACCAGAGCAGCGGTCACGTGTGGGAAATGGATTTATAGAAAATTGGCTTTAAGGCATTTACAGCATGGTGTGGCTAAAGCTGATAAACCAAGAACTTATTGTGTATTGTAATCAGGAAATAGCTTCTGATTGTGGTGGTGTGAATTGTAACACCTGTATTGTCTCACCCTTCTCATGAGACTGAAAATGGCACAAAAGGTTTTGAAACACCTCATCTCTGGGTCAGAAAAAGATGTAATCCAACAGCCACGCTGCCCTCACCTCCTGTTCCCAGCCCTGGAATTGCAGCTCCAGCTCCTGCAGCCCCAGATTTCCTGGAGAGAGGAGGGAGATGCTCCACACCCCTCAGCATGGTGTCACCCTTCCCTGCAGCCAGCCCGGGACACTGTCATCTCCTCCTGCAGGGTGATGCCTCTCAGATGAGAGAAGAGCAACCAGCCCTCCAAACCCGCATTCCAGGAGGAATAAAATCTGTCCCCTCTGAGGGCCAGGATCTGTCCCTTCCCAGGATGGGATCTGTCCCTTCCCAGGGCTGGGATCTGTCCCCTCCCAGGGCTGGGATCTGTCCCCTCCCGGCTCTGGCAGTGAGCAGTGCCTGGGCTGGCACTGCGCGGCCCCGGGGCTGCCAAGAGGGAAGGCAGGAAGGAAGGAGGGAAGGAAGGAGGGAAGCAGGAGCAGAGAGTGAAGCACTGGAATGAGCAGAGAGATGGGGCTGGAGTGGCACAGCAGACAGCGAGTGGCATCCAGGTCCCTGTCACAGCCCGGGTGGTGGCAGTTGGTAATTAGCAGTAACTGGGGGATGTGGGTCTGAGCAGTGCCCAGGAAGGAAAATCCCCCATCTCTGCTCCACACCCCCAGCCAGGCTGGAGAAGGCTCTGAGGAAGAGGAGGAGGAGGAGACCCAGCTTCCAGCCAGACCCCCTGCCCTGCCAGGACAGCCTGGCCATGGCCTTGTCACTGCCCCCGAGGCCCTGTCACTGCTGTGGCCATGTCACTTGTCCCTGGCCATGTCACAGCCCTGGGCCATATCACAGATCTGGGCCTGGCACTGTCCCTGGCTGTCACTGTCCCTGCCTCTGTCACTGTCCCTAGCCATGGCACTTTTCCCTGGCCATGTCACTGTCCCTGGCCATGTCACTTGTCCCTGGCCCTGTCACAGCCCTGGGCCATATCACAGATCTGGGTCTGGCACTGTCCCTGGCTCTGTCACAGCCCTGGCCCTGTCACAGCCCTGCTCCATCTGCAGCCCCACAGTGACCTGGCCCTCCGTGTCCTTTGCCGCTCCTGCCAAGGGCCAAGGCCAAGGGCACTGCAGCCCCACAGTGACCTGACCCTCCATGTCCTGCTTGCCGCTCCTGCTGGGCCAAGGGCACCTCCTGCCCCTCTCTCCTGCCCCTCTCTCCTGCCCCTCCTGGTTCCTCTGGCCGTGCCAGAGCCTCCAGGTGCCCAGCCCAGCCCAGGGCAGGAGCAGACAATATTTTCCAAGCTGTGACTACTGATGGTCCTCTGACAGCAGAGCTGTGGGATTTCTGGGGGAGGGAGGGAGGGAGGGAGGGAGGGAGCCGGGCGAGATGTGCACAGTCACGGCAGGAAAAGCGCCTGACAAATGAGAGAGGAGCAGCTCCGAGCCTGGAGAGCCGAGGCTGCTCCCTCCAGGGTGCAGAGCAGGGGGAGAGGGGCAGAGGCACCAGAGCTGGGGAATCCGAGGCTGGGAGCGATGGGGAAACCTCCCAGAGCATCCCCAAAACGCCTCCAGTTCAGAACCCCCCTGGGGAGCAGGGTCCTCACCAGTGAAACACTGACTGGGGGGTGTTATGTCCTTAATGAGCATTAAAAATGTCACCCCGGGTAAAAATTTCTGCCTCCAGCCATGGCTTGATGACACAATTGTGCCCCCTGCAAATGCCACCAGCCCAAGGTGGCACCCAGCCCTGCTGGCCCTGGCACCAGGGGGGACCAAGGAATTGCTGCTGCCAGTGCCAGGCCCCCGGTGGAGTTGGGGACTCAGCTCAGCACCCAGGGATGATTTCCTGAGACCCAAAACCCTTGGGAGGCACCCAAAGCGAGGCACCCCGTGAGCTCAGCCTGTCCTGATGATGCCAAACCCCTCCGAAGGGCGGCAGAAGCAGCCCTGATGTCACAGCCTGGTCTGTGTCCCCAGCACAGCTCTGGCACAGCCCAGGGCAGGCTCGCCTCCAGCAGGGTGTGAAACGAGCCTTGCAATGTCCCAAATTTCATTTCAGAGCACTCAGAGCACGCCCTGGCTCCATCCCAAGCCCGCAGCTGCCCAGGAGAGGTTGGGGCTGATCTCCATAGGATCAGGATGGGCAATTCCAGAGCCAATCCTGCAGCCAAGGCCAGCAAAGCTTCCCCTGTCCCACCCACACGGATTTAGGAACCCCCACCTCCCGTTCCGGTCGCAGCAGGATTTCTTCAGCTCCCAGCACAGGTTTTTTTTTTAATCACCTCAGGGAGTGTTTTCCAAATCCCTCACATCAAGAGGAAAAATGATAATCAGGCCAGCTCAGACTTGCAAAACTGATCATTAGAAACCCAAAGCCCCGAGGGGACAAGGTGAGGATGTGGAGGAGGCGAGGATTATCCCCTTGTCTCCTGCGGGAAGCAGGGCCAGCCTCGGGGAGTTCTGTGGCCCCAAGGGGCTCATCCTGTGCTGCTCTCTGAGCAACAAAAGGTGGCGGTGACAACTGAAGTGTCCTGAGAGCTCCAGGAACCTCCAGGAGATGGGAATGTGGGGGCAGGGACAGAACAGGGCTGTCCCTGGGAGCTGGTGACACACACAGGGGCTGTGAAAGGAGAATAAAAGGGTCCCGTCTCCTCAGCCCTGCAGGAATGGGGTGGATCACGCTGAGAGGAGCCTGCCCAGGGCTCCAGCACGGCTCCAGTTTCCCCAGTGCCCTCCTCATCTCTGCCCACACCACTGGGGTCAGCCCGGGGCTGCCCCAAACCCTGGGAGCAAAAGTAAATTTTCAACCAGACACAAAAATGCCGTTTCTGAATTAAAAAAAAAATCCCAACACCAATCTGGGGCACTCTGGTGCTTCTGTCAGCAGCGTGTGCAGGGCTTTAACCTCACAGTTCAAGCCTGAAATGCAACAAAACGGGGAAGGGAAGTGAAATGCAGGTGCACAGAGCTCCCCCCTGGAGCTGGCAGTGTCAGGAGTGGGAATTCCCCAAAATTTCACCTCCCCTCGTGTGTCCCACCTCCACGGCTGGGGCTGCTCCATCAGGGGCTCCTGGGAATCTTTTCCAGCTGATTCCAGGCAAGAGGAGTCCTTGGGGTGCTCAGAGGAGCTCAGGGCTCCTTTTTGGGGGGCTCTCCGTGCTCCTGGAGCCCCCCAGCAGCAGCAGGGACTGAGGAGGGCTCCAGCCCAGCCCCAGGGATACAAGCCCTGGGAAAAGCTGCATTTCCTGGGGCAGAGCTGGGCACACATCCCAGCAAACCCCGGGGAGCAGCAGCCTGAGGTGGACATGAGAGCTCAAACCCCATTTCCTGGGGGGCTGCTCCCCCAGCCCTGCCTCTGCACCCCCAAAAACTCAGGGAAGGGACCAGCAGCAATCCAGGGCTGCAGGACAGAGCAGCAGCATCGTTCCTCCGTCCCCTGGCTGTGACAAAATTTGTTTTTCCTTGAAATCTCGCAGCAGAGGGAATCCTGGAGCTGGGTTGTGCTGAAGGGACAGAGCAGCCCTGAAATCTCTCCTCCCAGAGCTCCAGGAGCAGCACCCAGCAGCTCCTCTGGGGATGGGAGAGCCTGGGTTCAGGTGCCACCACCCATTCCTGCCCCAAACCCTGGCACTGCTGTCCCTCAGGGGTCACCCAGACCGATTTAACCCAAAGGAAGCAGCAAACTCTGCATCCCTCAGGCACCAGGAACCACACTCAGCTCGCAGCCAGGCTCAGGGATGCTCCACAGCAGCTTTCCAGCTCCTAACTGGAAAAGATGACCTGTCCAGTGCTCCTCCCTGCGCAGCACCGAGGCCCTGAGGGCGGCGTAATTTGATTTATAAAGCCTTGGCAGGACAGCTCAATCCATCCATCCCTGAAGAAGGGATTGTACCCGAGCTCCTGAAGCCTGAACAATTCTTATTCCCACTCATTTGGAGGCTGCAAGGCTCTGAGTAACCTCCCCACAACACTCACAAGCTCCAAATATCCCAAATATTCCCTCCTGCCTGCCTGGCAGGGCTGTCAGTCTCCAGTGGGGACTCCCCAAATCCCTTTTTCTCCAAAATCCTAAGCACATCCTGCTTCCCAACCAGCACCAAACACACTCTTTCCCCCCCCAAAATGCAGCTGTGGAGCTCAAAGTTTGGGAATCCCCAAGCACAAAACCCCCGATGGGTTCTGTGCAGCAGAGAGCCGGAGCTTTGGGAAGGAGCTGGCAGCAGGAATTCTGCATTTCCCTCCCCTGCTCCTCCAAACATATGCGAGGCAGCCCGGGGGCTGGCAGAGGCTCTGCTGCTGACCCAGCACCGTGGCACAGCCGCAGCGAGGTCCCCACGTGCTGTCCCCAATCCCCCACTTGTCCCCTCCTCCCCCAGCTCCGGGGGCCAGGACAGCTCCGCGTCCCACGGTGGCGATTCACAGGCGCTCCAGGAGCCGGGGCTCCCCCTCGATCCGCAAATATTTAACACCAAACGAGGTTTTTCAAGGATTCCTGGGGGGATTCTCCCTGCTCAGCCCCACTCGCGGTGCGTGGATCTCTCTCACACACGGGGCTGCCACGTTACATCACCGCCCCAGGAGCGGTGACAACGTAAATAATCAGCTGATCCCGGAGCTGTCACCCAGCCCCAAATCAAACGCCTCCCTGGCAATCTTCAGCCTTGAGCCAGCCTGGGTGATTTATCTGCAGCACATCCTGGACACGAGGCTGGCTGTGAGTCCCTGTTTGGGGCTCTCTCGGGGCCCCTCAAGGTCCCCCCCGGCCCGGTGTCCCCCCCTCCCCTCAGCCACACCACGAGGACCGCTCGCATCCCTCCACGTGTTCGCCCAAACTCCTGGAAAACGCGGCGCTGCCACCATTTCCAGCGCCGAGGTTATTAAAACACGCTTCCAAATATATTCTTGGGCGATAAACAACCAAGGTTAAGGAGGAAAAAAAAAACCCAAAACAACAAAACAAAACCCTCGCGGGAAGTTCTGGCTGGAAGTTCACGCTCAGGCTGTGGCTGCGCGGGGCTCCAGGGAGCGGCGGCTCCTCTCCGGGGGATGGAACCGCACCGGGAGCCGAGCGGGGCGGCCGGGGGAGGGAAACCCCCTCCCCTCCGAGGCCAGAGGGCTGCGGACCCTCCGCGACGCCCCCCGCGCTCGCTTCCACTCGGGAATGGTTTTCCCACGCAGCATCATCCCACGGCCCGGCTCAGCCCCGCAAATCCGGCTCAGCCCCCCAAGCCCGGTTCAACTCCTCAAACCCGGCTCAGCCAAACCCGGCTCAGCCCCCAAGCCCGGCTCAACCCCTCAAACCTGACTCAGCCCCCCAAGCCTGACTCAGCCCCCCAAGCACGGCTCAGCCCTCCAAACCCGGCTCAGCCCCCCAAGCACGGCTCAATCCCCCAAACCCGGCTTAGCCAAACCCGGCTCATCCCCCAAGCCCGGCTCGGGGCGGCCGGCGCTGCCCACCCGCGATCCGGGCTAAGGGAGGGGGCTCTGCGGGGACCCCCCGAGGGAGCAGCGCTGAGTTTGCCAGGCTCTTACGTCCTCTTGAAGACCCCTCCGAGGCAGCTGCCGAGCAGGAGGCAGAACTGCTGCGAGAAGAAGACCCAGGTGATCTGCGAGAGCGAGCTCTGGGTCTGGCAGCGCAGGTCCAGCAGCGTGGGCCCCAGGAAGGCGATGCAGAGGCCGAAGCTGAAGAAGACGCTCCAGTAGGTGAGGGTGGGCTGCAGGTTCCTGCGGAACCGCGCCGACACCCGCTCGTCCCACCACATCGTGCGGGCGGCGGCGGCGCGGGGCGGCCCCGCTGCTGGAGCTCGGGCGCTGGGCTCGGGCCCCGCCGCCGCCCCGCTGCCGTGCCCGGCCCCGCTCCTCCTTTGCGGGATGTGGCTCCCGATCCCGCCGCGCCGGGCGCTGGCTCCGCCTCCGGGCCGGGCGGAGCGGGGCTCCTCTCCATCCCCGCCGCCCCCGGAGCCGCCCCGCCGGACCCCGGCGCGTCCCTCGGGCGCTGGAAGCGGCGTCGCGTGCCCGCCTTCCTCCTCCTCACCCTCATCCTCTTCACCCTCATCGCTCCCAGCTCCCCCCCGCGTGGGTCGCATCATCCTCCCAAAAGTGGGGCGACCCCTCTGCGCCCTCCCTGGCATTAAAGCGCAGCCACAGCGGCTACACCCGCTGGAACAGAGCGCAGACCAGGCAGGAAATCCAGAAATTCCCTTTTTTTTTCTTTTTTTTTTTTTCCCCCTGCTGCCAGCCCTCCCCGCGGTCCCCCGTGGCCCTGAAAAGGTGCCACCGTGCCAGACAAACGCAATTAAAGTTGCCCCTTGCCTGGGTAAGCAGCACAAGCTGCCTTGGGGCGGGGGGAGGGCGCGGGTTTTAAAGCCGGAGCGGTTGATGCTTGCGCAAAAGGTCTTCTCTAGAGGATGGGTTTATAAATATTTCACCTACTTTAGCTGGGGAAGGCTGGCAATTTTTAGAACACTCTTTCCAGGCAGAGCAGAGCCGGTGGAGCTCTGCCATGACGGAGAGCTGGCTGCAGGTGGCCGGCCGGGCACGGGACTCGCCCATCCTGTGACCCGTGCCTCTGGAATGCCGCTCCGGGGCCGCAGGTGCTCATTCTCACCTGGCCAGAGCTTAATCTTTAGCCAACCCCAAATTACATGCCAGCCCGTGTTCTTCCGTGCCATCCTGCCCGCAGAACACGGTCACGGTCCCCGCCACCACCGCAGGGGACAAAGGGACTGTGACAGCGAGGCGCGGGTGATAACCGCACCCCAACCCCCCCCAAACTGCCCCAAACTCGAGGCTCCTGCGGCTGCCGGGCGCCTGAGACCATGAAACAATCAAAGAGCAGCTGAAGCGCCCCGAGGGCCGGGAGCGGTGTCCTTGTGCTGCGTGACCGATGGGGACAGCCAGGGCCAGGCAGGAATGAGGCTCAGGGACAGCGGATGAGTCAACGGCACGGCGGAAATTGGGTTTTATCATCAGGGCATCAAACGCCTCCCAAACCAGCCTGGATGGGGATGCTGAGCCACAGCCTGGGGCTCTCCCTGCCGGGCAAAAACTCGATTTGAGGCCGCGCTGCTGCAGCAGCCTCTGCTTCCCTTCCCCATCGGGAGGGAGAAAGGATTGGGATAACAAAGCCTTTCCACCTAAAGGATTGGGATGACAAAGCCTTTCCACCTAAAGGATTGGGATAACAAAGCCTTTCCACCTAAAAGGATTGGGATGAAAAAGCTTTTCCATCAAAAACTGCTGGGAAAGGCAGCCAGGAGCACCAGTGCAGCCACCTGTGTCACCTCTCCAGGTAGCCCTGGCTGGATGATCTCCAGAGGTCTTTTCCAACCCAGACAATTCCTGCATTCTGCCATCTCCCTTTTCCCATCTATCATCTCCCTGCACTGATGGAAGAGCTGATCCTCATCTAGGATTCTGCCATCTCCCTTTTCCCATCCATCTCCCTGCACTGATGGAAGAGCTGATCCTCATCTCCCACACTCCAGGGGCTCTGCCCCAAAAAATCGGCTGACAAAGCTTTCCCTGGGGCACATTCCAGATCTTTATCTGGAGATAAGGGAGATCCAGGGGGCTGAGAGGCCTGAATTCCTGCTCCACCCCCCTCTCTGGTGGCATCAGCTCTCCAGGGCTTGAATTCCCAGCCCTGAAATGGCCCAGCAATGGCCTCCCCACCTCTGCAGCTTCCCTGCACCACCCCAGACACAAAGGCAGCATCCAGAGGTGACAAATACAGCCCAGCCCTACCCAGAGCCACACCGAGTGACCTGGGTGCTCCTGGGATTATAAGAATTCCAGCTCCTGGGAATATCAGAATTCCAGCTCCCAGAAATATCAGAATGCCAGCTCCCAGGAATATCAGAGTGCCAGCTCCTGGGAATCTCAGAATTCCAGCTCTTGGGAATACCAGGGTGCCATCTCTCAGGAATATCAGAGTGCCATCTCCTGGGATTATCAGAATTCCAGCTTCTGGGAATATCAGATTTCCAGCTCCCAGAAATATCAGAGTGCCAGCTCCTGGGAATATCAGAGTGCCAGCTCCTGGGATTATCAGAATTCCAGCTCCTGGAATACCAGGGTGCCATCTCTCAGGAATATCAGAGTGCCATCTCCCAGGATTATCAGATTTCCAGCTCCCGGGAATATCAGAGTGCCAGCTCCCAGAAATATCGGAGTGCCAGCTCCTGGGAATATCAGAGTGCCAGCTCCTGGGAATCTCAGAATTCCAGCTCCTGGGAATACCAGGGTGCCATCTCCCGGGAATATCAGAGTGCCAGCTCGAATTCCAGCTCCCAGAAATATCAGATTGCCAGCTCCCAGAAATATCAGAGTGCCAGCTCCTGGGAATCTCAGAATTCCAGCTCCTGGGAATACCAGGGTGCCATCTCCCGGGAATATCAGAGTGCCAGCTCCCAGGAATACCAGAGTGCCAGCTCCCAGGAATATCAGAGTGCCAGCTCCCAGGAACATCAGGCCCTTCCATCAGGGCTGACACAACCCATGCAGGATCTGCTTGCAAATAAGCCCCGAGGCGTGGGTGGGTTTAGTCAGCACAAGAACACCCAGATCCCTCCTGGTTCCACAGAAATGCAGCTCCTCTCCCTGGAGGGAGCTCATCAAAATGCAAGCCACAGGGCTCCGAGGAGATGCAAAACCCGAATTAGCTCCACGAGGAGGCACTTCCAGGCTGTTTTCCAAACTGGAATAAATGTTGTGCTTGCACTGAATTAAAACACCCCCAGTTCTGCCCTTGCTGCAGGCTGCAGAGTGAAACCATGAATGGAAGGAGGGCAGGGCTGCAGCCACAGAATCCCTGGTGAGCTCCAGAGGGTCCAAGTGGCCTTTGGGAAACATCTTCCTTTGGTTTTTCCATGGCCTTGCACATTCCTGGGGCAGAAAGGATTTTTTTAGGTATATAAATTGTTCTTTTCAACCAGAGGAGCAGTGTTTTATCGTGCTGGGTCCTGCTTGCAGTGGCTGCAGAGCTCCAACCCCGATTTGTTGTGCTGTTGGAATCACCTCTCAGCCCAGGCTCAACACAGTGGGGAAATCCAGCTCTAAAAATAAATTTTCTAAGGGTTCCCTTGGGGTGGAACCACCTGAGGCCCCACAGGACAGCAGATTCCTGGAGCTGCTCCAAGGCTTTCCCCAGTGTTTGGGTTGGCAGCTTGGCCAAGGACTTGGAGCTCAGATGTTGGGGAAGTTTTCCCTGTCCTCCTTTAGGGAAAACTGGGGCTGAGAAACGCCTAAAACCCCAAGAGTTACCCCAGCAGCCACATGTGATGGGTCCATGTGTATTTGGGGATGGGATCAAACAAAAATCCCAGCGCCACCCAAAGCCTGAGCTGATAAGAAAATAACTCTGAACCACTGAACCTGCTTGAGAAATCCCTGAGAACACAGAAAACTCCGTGTCTGAGGGGCTGGCTGCAGGAAAGATGCTCAGCAGAGCAGACAGACAGAGAGAGGGAGTGTCCACCTTGTGTCTTTCGGGGTCAGGAGCTCCCAGACCGGCAGGTTTGGGGAGCTTGGCTCCAATTCTAGGTCAAACACGAGCCCGAAGTCTCGGCCTGGTTGTGGCAGAGCTCGTCAGCCTTGTCTGGAGGAGGAAGTGCTGCCCTCCAGATCCCTCCCTCCCAGCTGGAATGACTCCCACACCCACTGCCCTGCAGCTGGCACCCCGCTGCTTCCTCCTTCGCTGCCCTAAATCCCTGCCAGGGAGGGCAGCTGGGGTGGCACAGCCAGGCTGAGCCCCCAAAAATGGGAGGGAAGGGAGGATGGAAGGGCAGGGATGGATGGACAGGGACAGAAGGACAAGGATGGAAAGGCAGGGATGGATGACCAGGGATGGATGGACAGGGATGGAAGGACAGGGACAGAAGGACAAGGATGGAAGGGCAGGGATGGAAGGGCAGGGATGGATGGACAAGGATGGATGGACAGGGATTGAAGGGCAGGAATGGATGGACAGGGATTGAAGGGCAGGGATGGATGGACAGGGATGGATGGACAGGAATGAAGGACAGGGACAGAAGGACAGGGACAGAAGGACAAGGATGGAAGGGCAGGGATGGATGAACAGGGATGGAAGGGCAGGGATTGAAGGGCAGGGATCACTGCCCTGCAGCTGGCACCCCGCTGCTTCCTCCTTCGCTGCCCTAAATCCCTGCCAGGGAGGGCAGCTGGGGTGGCACAGCCAGGCTGAGCCCCCAAAAAATGGGAGGGAAGGGAGGATGGAAGGGATGGATGGATGGACAGGGAGGGATGGACAGGGATGGATGGACAGGAATGAAGGGCAGGGATGGATGGACAGGGACAGAAGGACAAGGATGGAAAGGCAGGGATGGATGACCAGGGATGGATGGACAGGGATGGAAGGACAGGGACAGAAGGACAAGGATGGAAGGGCAGGGATGGATGAACAGGGATGGAAGGGCAGGGATTGAAGGGCAGGGATGGATGGACAGGGATGGATGGACAGGAATGAAGGGCAGGGATGGATAGACAGGGATGGATGGACAGGAATGAAGGACAGGGACAGAAGGGCAGGGACAGAAGGACAAGGATGGAAGGGCAGGGATGGATGAACAGGGATGGAAGGGCAGGGATTGAAGGGCAGGGATGGATGGACAGGGATGGATGGACAGGAATGAAGGACAGGGACAGAAGGGCAGGGACAGAAGGACAAGGATGGAAGGGCAGGGATGGAAGGGCAGGGATGGATGGACAAGGATGGATGGACAAGGATGGATGGACAGGGATGGAAGGACAGGAATGAAGGACAGGGAGGGATGGACAGGAATGAAGGACAGGGATGGATGGACAGGGATGGAAGGATTTAGTATCAAAGGCATCCCAGAACATTGGGGAGAGAATGATGTATCTGG